TCTTTTTTTTTTTTAATTTAACTTTTATTAATTACACTTTATTCATTTTGTATCCCCCCATAAGCCCCTCCCTCCTCCCCTCCCGGTCCCACCCTCCCCCCTTCTTTCTGCATGCATGCCCCTCCCCATGTTCACTGATTGGGGAGGTCCTCCTCTCCTTCTTTCTGATCTTAGTCTATCAGTTCTCATCAGAAGTGGCTGCATTGTCAGGGTTCTAGGTTATCTCCATGAATAGCCCTTGGTTGGAGTATGAGTCTCTGGGAATTTCCCTGTGTTCAAATTTTCTTGTTCTGTTGCTCTCCTTGTGGAGTTCCTGTCCTCTCCAGCTCTTACTATTTCCCACTTCTTACATAAGAACTCAGTTACATTTTATATATATATATATATGTTTTAATCCCAAATGTAGGATTTTAGTTCGGGTATTAGTTTGGCAACAGCTGATAATTATGTCTTGCAGAGCATGGTCTTTGCCAGCTGGTAATGGCCTGCCTAGCACAGCACAAAGAAGGGGTGTGGTCTAGGACTCTGAGGGATATAAATATGGGTCCAGAAAGAGAAACTGTGGCAGTTTGGAGAGACCAGAGATGGACAGTGTGGCAATTTGGAGTAACATGTGGCACAGTGGCTTGGAGGAGATAATAGAGGAGACTGCTTGCTGTGTTTGCTGTTGAAGGAGATTGGTATAGCCCCAAAAAGAATCCATTGACCCTAAACAGCCAGAAGCAAAGAGGTCTGCACCCCCTCACCCTACTAACCTTCTCTCTCTTACCTTGAGTTAAAGGATTGGTGGGCAGGAGGTAGAGACATAAATATTCCCAAATAAAATACATTTAAAAACCAGCACAACAGAAGAAGATGATGTAGCCAGCCTTGAAGAGACCTGATAGAAGGGGAGGAGGACCTCCCTTAGCAAGGGACTAGAAAAAGGGCATAGGGGGAGAAAAGGGCTGGTGGGTGAGATTTGGAGGAGATGAGAGCTGGTGTTGCAGTGGGGAAACAAAGTGAATAAATTGTAATAAATAAATATATAAATAAAATTAAATTAAATTAAAAATAAAGGAACTAATTACCCTTACCTTAGTCCAATGTGAACCTAAAGCAAAGGGCATTTTTTTCTTTTATTCTGCTAAATAGACACAGTAAGAAACCGCCCCTGAGTTCTGTTCTTTGTACCCATAGATAAGTGCATCCCTCCACCCTCATCACAGAGGCTTCTTTCTAAAACAAACGGTTATTAATACTGAGATCCACAGCCAGCCAGTGTGCAGAAACTAAAATGGTGGAATATTAAGTTCTAAATGGTACATCTATATCATGCCCTCTCCCTTCAAGGCTGGGAGGATCACTGGAAAATGGATGGGGTAGGGGCTCATGAGATCCCACCATATCTAAGGAACTATTGACAACTGATGGTTGCTGGTTAAGAAATAATCGCCTTTCACTATGAATGCAGGCCCTGAGATCTTACCCGTGAGCCAGTAGATGCTCAGACACACATACACATACAGTCAAGAGTAAGTGGATTTTTGTGGCTATTAAATTATTTTTAAAGCGTATGGCATTGGAAGGGAAAATCCCTCTTCCCCCCGGCATGGCAACCTAGCGAGCCCACAGAGGAAGAGGATCCAGGCAGTCCTGGTGAGACTTGATAGGCTAGGGTCAGATAGTAGGGGAGGAGTACTCCTCCCTCAATGAACTAGGGAAGAGGGTTAAGGAGAAAGGGGGAGTGTGAGAGGGACTGGAGGAGAAGAGTGAGGGGTCTACAATCTGGATTTAAAGTGAATAAATATTAAAAATAAAATAAAATAATTAAAAAAATAAAAGACAAATTAGGGAAGAGGGAATGGGGCTGTAATTTTTTTTCAAAACACACCATATACATGTATGATTATTAAAATATCTTTTAAAAGTAAGAAATAAAATATGTACATTGGTTTTGCATTCCTAGTACCTACCACGATCATTACAATGTCACAGTAAAAATTAATGTACAAATAGAGAAATGACTATCCAAATTGGTGGGAAGGTGATTGTATGCAGGAAATGAAGAAGTGAGAGGCATTGCCTGCTCTTCAGCAATCCTCAGAAGAATCAGGACAATGATTTCCATCTCTGCTTCACATCTCATTGGTCCTTCCATGTCATGTTAATTCACCCAAGAGTCAAGAACCTGAGCAGCAACAGTAACAGATGTATCTTCCCAGTCATCACAGAAGGTTACCTTAGTCCTTCCAAAACATTTTCATAAGAACCAGAAATTGGGCAGAGTCGACATTAATCTCCACCCACGGAACTTAAAAATCAGTGTGGACACAGAGACTTCACTGTCAGGACATGACCCATACAAGTGAATGGCAGTGATGTAGCTGCTGGAGGGTGGTGGGTTAAATATAGACCTGTAGGTAACTAAAGGTGGCATTCAGCCCGTTCGGGAGCTCTGTAACACTGTGACTAGCATTTAGTACTCAGCTGTTCCTCACCCACCTCTCAGATGGTCCCAGCAGGGAACAAGTCTGCGGCTGTCATGTTTATAGCTAATTAATGTTTATTTATACTTTTAAACAAGCCCTTCACCTGTCACGCTTTAAAATGAATGCTCTGCTCTTCAATTAGAGATTGTCAGAGCAGAAAGAAATCCTGTTTTGTTGTGGGCTTAATATGTGCGTGTGTCTAAATGTGTATTAGATATGGGGTTCTTCTATCCTAAATCACTCTCTTCTCCTGGAGGCGAAAGCCTCCCACACAGAAAAAAACACCCTTTCTCCAGTTTTCAACCATGAGATTGGAGCCTTGTTACGTAAAGCTTGTTGAAGACAATCACCAGGAGCGGTCACACTGCCTCCTTTGGTGAAGCAGGGATGACAGCAGCACCTGTGGTACATTTGGACCAGTACTGAATTTAGACTCTCGGGGTGGGGGCACCTGTTGTTCTATCTGCAAAAGAGAAGTTGACTCAGCAATGGAATTTTGCAGTTGTTAAAGAAAGGTCTGTCTATCTCTGGGCTCTGGGAGAAAACCCTTTAAACCCTTAGAATATTTTCTGCTGGACAAGAGTGTCTTTCGTTGCTTGGGGATTTGGACAGTGCCAGATGGTCAATGCTAGTAGTGTGAGTTTTGCTGGAGGTGTGAGTTTGACTGCTGGAGGACGATGGATATGGAGTGAAGGCACAGCCATGGGAAGTATCTCACAGCTACATGGCTGACCACCCTCGAAAAATTTTATCTGAACCTACTTAAGGGGTATCCTGTGATATTTCAATACACATATGCATTGTGCAGTGATCAAATCATGGTGATTAACATATTTTTACCTTAATTTTTGTGTTATTTTTGGAGCCTCTGAATTTCTAAAATAGGTACGCTTTTGTGGATTGTCATTCAGTCCACTGTGATGAGGAACACTAGAGCTGACTGCTTCAATGCTGCTATGATCTGGGTCTATTATCCAAACTCCCTCCATCTTTTCCTCTTCTTCCTCTATCACTTGGTAGTAACCACTCTTCTATATTGAAACAAATATTTTAAACATCTACAGATAAATGGGAACTTGGAGTATTTGTCTTTCTATAACCGCATATTATTTTTTAGTGTTTAAGAAGATGGGAATATTATACACTCTCACTTGATCATTTTTTTTATCATATGCATGTATTGAGTTCCACAGGATACTAGATAAATATAATTACAAATAAGAGAATTAGAACAAAAAAATACCCTTAACACCAAGTCTGTGTGAACTTTCCTGACTGGTGGTTACACTGTTGCCAGAGAGTTGGCATCTATGAAAAGAGGGTATTATAAGTATGCTTTTTACAAGGGGCAAATTTTAATGTTTCCTTTACCATAATAGCCTATAAATGCTATTTATTTTGAGTTCCATGAGTAGAGAACAATCTTTGGACATGGAGGTCAGTACCCTGAACATACTCAAAGAGTAAGTCACAAAGGGAGGCTGTACCCCAGCATCAAATCACAACTGAACTGAATCTCTGTTCTACTGCATATGCTTAAACGGTCTTAGGAAAAGTACTTCATCTGTTGATCTCTTAAAATCTGGTTATGAATCTACGTTATGCCCAGGACTTGTTAAACATGCCACTCTTTCAATCACAGGGTAGAAGCTTTAGAGTGTGGGTTATGATAGAGTTGCTCATTGTGACATTTCTTCACTTTTAGTTAAGTTCTATATGTGGACATTTGTCCTCACACTTCTGCAGATGGATCTGCTCACAGTTGGTAGACAGCACATGAGCGTTCCCATAGGCCACTCTGCTGCCATTTTCTCTTTCTCATCTGGTTTCAAATTGCTGGTCTGACATCAGTTACACAGTACCTGGGACTGAAGAGGAAATTCTATGTATGAGACCTAGAGCTGTGCTAGCATTGTTTTGGAAAATGTCTTCACCAAATGAGCACTGAACCATTGTTCTGAACTTATTGTGAGGTGAATTGTGTCTTCATAAAATACGTGTTGGCATTCTAATCCCTGGGGCCTGGGAATATGATCTTGTACAGAGTGAGCATCTTAACATGTGGAAGAATACTAAAGTCAAACTGAACAACTTTAATTCAGACTCCAATTATGAATGTCCTTAGAAGAGGAAAGTGGGGACCACTAGACCAGACACCAGGCTAGGATGGTCCTGTGAAGATGGAAGCGTTGAGTCAAATGGATCACCATAAGCCAAAACCACTAAGCACTGCTGATAGCCACAGTGCAAGAGAAGGAGGGATTTTTCTAAAGCCGAGAGTATCAGAACAGCTCGCCAACTTTTTCATGTTAGACTGTGAGCCTTACGAAAATTGATTTGGGGAGTTCTGTTGGTTTAGCCATCCACTTCATGGTAACGTGATATAGCAGCCGTTATAATAAGCTTCCCGCTGAAGTTTCCCACCTATGTTTTTTTCCCCTTTGTTTATTTTTCTTGCCTGGAGATTGATGGGCCGCCTCCTGCAGAGTAATAGAAACCTCATGATAGTACAAAAATGAAGGGACTCACCACAGGTCCCTTGCCAATGCTGCTCAGGTAGTGGAGGAGACCTTTGGTATGGTAGATGGTTGGCTGGAGATGAGCTTGAGGAATGAGCCACTGTCTATTGAGATCCTCTCCTCTCAGTGAGCATCTGTGACTGCAGGAAGAAACAGGAAGCAAAGAAACACCCATTTAGACCGAAAAAAAAAAAAGCTTCATAAAATAAAACCCAAGCAGACAAACAAACTAATGAATCCAACTTCCCTCTGACTTCTGCCCAATTGCTACCAGCTCCAGATGTCCAGGAAGCTGCAGATCTGTCCTGTAGGAGTATGGGGTGCCCTAGTTACTTGCAGCTGCTAGAGGAACTAGAAACTTCACTCAGCTTAATACTGGGTTAATAGTGTTTTAAGACAAAGTTTGGAAAACATGGTTTCCCACTGTATACACCCATTAAAAAAAGAAAAGAAAAATTCAATGCATGACTCTCCAGGTCCTTAAGTTCTACAAATAAATATTGAGCTCAAATATTTGAGCTCAAGATAGCACACTGGATATGGTAAAATATAATATTTCTAGTTGGCCCAAAAATGTTATGAAACTCAATATTATTGGACGTCAGTGAAGAAACTGAAGCCTAAAACAACTATGTAAGTGACCCAAGATACATAACTAAAGGCTTTGCACTCTGGTCTCTTTGCCTCTAGCCCTTACATTCCTTCTTTAGGTACGGGTAATCCTTGAAAACTACCAGGATTAAAATGGGTTCAAGATTATATGTTCCCTGGAGATGTTCATAATCAAAGCTAACATGTTAGTTTCAAAGGTTACTCAACTTCTTGACCAAGAGACAGAGCTTCCAGGTAGAGTCATCCTATGAGCCCAAGACAACTGGAAAGTTTATCAGAAGCAGCAGATCCATAGGACACTCTCCTGGTAGTTTTGCTAAGATGGCATTTATTCTACATGGTGAACCAGAAAGATGGCACAAATTGAGGGGGCCAACACAAAATCTCCAACACCATAAATACCACTATTAAATCCTTTTCCACTAGTACCCTTTCAATATCAACCACAATGAAGCTACTTAGTTTCTTCTGAACAAGTGTGCCTGATACTCCTTTGACCAAGGTTCCCATGTCCATCTATTCCTACCTACTTAACTTTCAGCAAATCAGTCCTGCCCCCTCCCATCAAATTTCATGAAATCCCAAGCTAAGGAACCCTAGCCCTTTTGGTTGCATGCTTAACCAGAGTTCATACAGAACCATTTTCATTAATATTTTTTCTAATTTATTTTGTTCTCATTAGACTGGAAGAAGTGGGGTTAACTTGGAGAAGGCCAGAAAAATATTTGGTACCATCAAAATTCTAAAAGGAACTTTCTTAGCCAACCACATAAAATGTGTATAATGACACTTGTCAGCAAGTCAGCTTGGATGGGGAGGATGAAATATCACAAGACTCCATCCCTAGATAAAGCCCTATAGTTAATCTATGGGTAATAACAGAGGGAGAGTCAGTTAGTCAGGCAAGGCCCTTGACAATTTAACCAATCTCAAGTGGTCAGTGCTAAACACTAGTACATATGAGCAACACTAAATGGACTTCATTAGGATTCATGTGTGTGCTTGTGTTTAAGTGTGTAACAAAAATAATAAAGAGAAGTTATGAGTTTGAAATGTTATATAGGAGAAAACAGGAGAAGCAGGGAGGGGAGAGGATGGGATGAATATGATGTAAATACTGAACTCCTGTATAAAATTCACAAAAATAAATTGTCAGAATTGGTATTCAGTAAACAATACAGAACAAATTTTTGCTCTGACATTTAAATATAGAAGCAGACATATCTTGTTTTGGAAACACTGCCTTATTCTCAAACAAAATTTGGAGATGAAATAGCTCAAGCTCTTTTTCACAATACTTAAATCTCCATGTTCTGAAATCATCTTTAGATATTAGTTTCAAGTTGTTTGTAATCTCTCTTTCTTAGAGCTCACTAGAAATTGAAAATATTAAATCATTAATTCACCCTGATTTTGACAGAAAATATTTTTTTTAATTTTATTTTTTTCTTATCAGTTACATTTTATTAACTCTGTATCCCAGCCGTGTCCCGATCCCTCATTCCCTCCCAGTCCCTCCCTCCCTCATCTCCACCATGCCCCTTGCCAAGTCCACTGATAGGGGGACCTCCTCCCCATTCATCTGATCTTGTTTTATCAGGTATCTTCAAGACTGGCTGCAAAGCTCTCCTCTGTGGCCTAACAGGACTGCTCCTCCCTTAGGGGGTGGGGAGGCCAAAGAGCCAGTCATTGAGTTCCTGTTTGACTTGAGAAAATAGGGGTGTAACTAACTTGGTAACAGTGCTTACCAATGCAAGAAATCCTAGGTTCAATCCCCAGCACTGCATAAGGCAGGTGTGACAGTGCATGCCTATAATCTCAACCCTAACGACATAGAGGCAAGAAGATGAAAAGCCCAATCTTTGGCTCATTGGCTACAAAGCAACAGATGATAGCCGGCATATATATCTATACATATATATGGGGTTTTTAATGCCAATAGCAGTGGAAAGATAAAGCATGGCAGACTTAAACTTGGCATATTTGTTTCATTTCAATTAGGTTTTTATTCTCAAATCAAGGGATCCAAAAGTCTGAGGATACTTTAACTGCTCTGCGATTTTTCTTGCCTTGACCTGGATTCTCATCAACAGTACAGACTTTATTCTTTCTGTAACATTGACTGTGATGAAATGAGGTGAGGTGCTTTCAAGGCATTCCTGTTTATGTAAACAGAAATACATGTATTGTTATATATCTAGTAGCCAACAATTCTGTGATTCTCTATCCCTGTTTGTTCATTCAGCTCCATGGAGACCAAATTCAGGGTCAACATCAACATGGAAACGCTCATAGGTTACCCGAAGAAGAAACACAATTCTGTACTATAGTTCTTAAAAGTAGAGAAAATGAAGTTTTGTATTGCAACTAGAAACCACCCAAGTGTTGGGTAAGAAAACATAGTTCCAGCGCCTGGTTGTGTCATTAGGTATGGGATTTGAGGAACTCATTTAGATCCAACATTTTTAAGGTCATCATCATTGGGTATTGTCATCATGCACCACCAAACCATGCTCTACTCCAGGGCTATTTTGAAGATCAAATGAAACGATAGGTATCATCTGTGTTTTAATGAAAATCTAGCTGCATAATCCTATATTTATCTATGTGTTCCTGTGGGACTATATCCCAGTTATATCCACACCCATATGTGACTATATATCTATGTCTTCATTCACATCTGCAATGGTTAAAGATGCCCAGCACAATTGTCACCATGTCCATTTTTTCCCGGTCTCATGCAAACAATACTACCTATGAAGAAGAGTCAGGAACCAATACGCAGGGTGAACTGAAAAAAGAACTCTGGCCAGGGACCACAAAGATGGAGTAGTGATCCACTTTGAAGTTCATTTGATTTAAGCACACTTCATGGTAGAGGCAATGAAATGGAACAGAAAGGAATTAATCAAAAAAAGATTACAAAGGGAATTGCTGATTACTCTTCAGGCTACTAGCCAGGACTAAGGGAGGGGAAGACATACAGGATTATCTGTGAGCTGCATGTGGAGAAAAGCTGTGACAGGGAAAGCAATATAGAAGTTGGGAAGCTGTTAGTTTAGGGAAAGTTTTGTTTGGTGGCTGCTTTCTGGGATAAAGAAAATGAACCATCCCAGTGGCATAGCTCAGCTGTGCAGCTTTGAGAAGCACGTATTCTTGCATTTATATTCAGACCTGGATGTGTGACTGTTATTTGGAGGTATCTCTGTGTGTGCCTACGGCTTTGATAGTTCCTACAGCTCAGCGACTGCCGAGGACCACAATGTGTACTACACCTACCTTGAGAGCTTTTTTCTTTTAAAGCAAATCCATTTGCTCCCAATCTGCAAATCCGTTTGGCATTTTATGTTAATGACACCCGAGATCCCTGTAGTCGGAGGACTTGCTGCTGCTCTTCGCGGGGATTTGTTTTAAGCATGCGAAGATGAAAATGTACCCCATCTTATTATCTACTGTAGTGTTTCTGCAATGACAGCTGCCGCTTCGATGTGCAGAGAATTAGCAGATGGACAGTGATGATGGGCTGACAAGACATTCAGAGCCTGTAATTTCTGAAAAGGGGTCATCCCTCAAATAGAGTTTGAAGTCTCGCTTTACTTACAGGGAGAGTAAGTAGTGATCAGTGCTATTCTTCCACACTGAAAATGGCAAACTTTTAGAGAAAAAAAATCACTTACTTCCTGTTCGCACAGGTAGTATGATACAACTAGTCCTCCACAGTTTCTCTGTCTGTCTGTCTGTCTCTCTCTGTCTCTCTCTGTCTATCTCTCTGTGTCTCTGTCTCTGTGTCTCTGTCTGCCTGTCTGTCTGTCTCTCTCTCTCTAATAAGGTCTCATGTATTCCATAGTGGCCTCAAATTTTCTAGGTAGCCAAGGAGGACCTTAAATCTCTGGTCCTCTTGCCTTGCCTCCTGAGTGCATGGGTCACTATCTTAGTTTATGACCTTCTGGGGATCAAAATCAGGGATTCAAGCATGCTGGGCTTACACTTTTTTGACCATGCTGTATCCCCATCCAGTCTTCTATATATTTGAGTTACAGTTTAAATAGTTTCATTTATAATAGAGTTTGTCTGCAGAAAGTGTGTTACTTTAGGATACCCAAATATCCAGATGTTGTAATTTTACCTTGAGATACCTGCATCCCAGGAAACTACTCAAAATGCAAATCACATTATCTCTCAGTCTATATCTGTAATTATAACAAAAGTCATGGAGCTAAGATGTCTGGCCAAAATGGAAGCTCATTATTTTGTAGTAGCTTTGAATGTTCTGTGTACTTGTTTATTTTTGAGGCAAAGTCTCAGCTAGGTTACAGTGGCCCTGAACGCACCACAGTCAGTGATGGCTTTGAAGAATCAACATCCTGCTTCTACGTCTTGAGTGCTAAGATTTCAGGATTGGTCCGCTATTCTCAGCTTGGTTTATTCAATGTTTGTGAGCAAGCCAAGGCTTCATGCATGTCAGCTAGTATTCTACCAACTGAACTGCATCCTGAGCCCTTCCTGTTGACTGTGCATAGGTGGAGGG